ACCTCTTTATTACTTAAATAATAGTTTCATTAATTGAATAATAAATAACAATAAAGCAATATTTATTTATGACATCATAAATTAAATGAAATCTCAGTTTTAAACATAAAATCAAAATAATTAAAACACTTCAATTGTTTAAATTAAAATCGTTTATGGTAAGAAATAATATTATTTAAATAACACAATAGCTATTGAAAGCCATACAATATGGTAAGAGATGATCAAATGGGCGGCCCCTCCGAGCACAGCATCGGCCGATACCGTGTAATTGAGTGAAGTGTGCGTTTGATTGGCAAAAGTCACGCGACAGGCATACCGTCCGGCCGTATATTTTGTCGGATCTTTGATCGTAACAAAAAGTTGTGGCGAACTCTTCTCGTTGTAATAATTTATGATCTCATCGATGCCTTTCAATCGTCGAAATTCAACTAACCATGATAGAAAAACATAAGTTATAAAAATAGCGTGTTTAAAATTACTAGCAATATTGAATCTATTAAGCTCCAAGAACCTAAATACTGTACTATGTTATATAACTTACATCTAACCGCGTCGTATTGCTTAAGAAAGCGCACGTTGTCTTTGTAGAGACTTATATCGATGAATCTATCGTTAATTTGAGATAAATTATAGCTGCAAACCACGTGAACGTCTTCATCGCGTACTTTCGCGGGAGTTATGGCTAGCGTTACGTTTTCTGTTGCATTCAATTAATACATTATTTTAAATATATAAATATATTTTGCAAAATATTTTATATGAGTTTTAATGAAATGTCTTAACCGGGAGAGCGACTCATTTTGATGGCTCGCATGTCATCACTTTGTAAATGCTGTTTATGGACGCGTGGGTACGGGTGCTCACTGTCTGGTCCACTGGTTTGGGTGATAAATGTTACGTTATGGACCTGAATGCCCAGGGTGAATGAACGCGTATTGTAGTAGTTGTTGAGGTTGTTGTTGAAATAAACTTTGCACACATAACGGCCAGCAGTTGTCCTGTTTATATTGTTAATGATGAACGCACCTGGCTCCAAGTTTACGATTTTATTTATGCCCGGTATTGGTGTAAATATTGGCACTATATTTGATGATGGTTATAAAATTGGTTATAGTTTAATTTAGTTTAACATTTGCTTACATTTTTTGTTGTTGATATTGTATTTGTAAAACTGTTTGCCGTCTTTGCTTATACTTAAATTGTAAAAGTACTCGCCGTACGGATTCAATAGTGCCGTACAATTGATCAGGGTGTTTGTTGAATTTACATAGGGCTTATTAGTGAATGAGATATGGTTTGATTCGCAGACATTGATTGCGAACAATATATTTAATGCACAAACCAATGAATATTTCATAATAATTATTACTTTATATTTATAGTAATTAAGGATAAGATTACACAACGAATGGATTTTATATGCAATTGAATTTCAATTTAAATGTTTATCATTTTATTTACTTTAAACTTATCACTCAATCTAAATGAAATAGTTATGTACTAAAATGTTTTATATGTTTTTGGTTGACAATTGTTTAAATATGAATTAAATGATATATCATTTGGTTTTTTGTTTGCAAAATAGACAATAAAATGTGACTTTTGTGTTATTTGTCACAATTCTTGTTATTTTTAACTCACAAAGTTATTTAATGTAAATATATTTTCTATAGTTTTAAATAAAATAAATAGGATTTAAAGTATATATCAATATATTGATAATATAATAATATTTTAAAATGCAGTATAAGTTATTAAATGTTAAAATATTTGCTAATTTATTCTTGTATTTATTTAATGATGTCATTAAACAATATTTAATAAAAATAAATAAAATAATTGTCTTATTGTTTGTTTGAAATGTGACAGAAAAATACAGTTGTTTGTATCAACCATGTTATTTAGACTACTCTACATTATTTTGTCAATTCAAATGTATAGAAAGGGAAAATAAATTATGGCATATATTTATTTTATAACACTTTTATTTTATTTAAAATCATTACAATTGTTATGCAGTATTAATTTATTAAGGTAGGAAAGATTTGAATTTTATTTCGTATATTAATAAATTATTTTTGATAAAAGAACTTAACAATAGTTCACAAAATTAACAAAAATTATAACAAATACTTCAAAGAAAATAATTAGTAAAGTGTAGATAAATTGTAGCAAAAATACTGATAACTATTATCTGAAATATGTAAACGCATTCTTGAATTCACACACAATTGTATTGATTGGCACACAATATCTCAATTGATTAAAAGTTTTTTAGTGATTGATTGCTAACACAGCGAAGCAAACAATGGCTAACAAATAGGATAACAAGTGTTGATAACCGGCGTTAAGAGTAATTTCAGAAAAGACATGAAAGTTGTTTACGGCTCCGCTATAGTACTCCACTTCGCACCGGTATTTGCCGACCGTATCGTCGGTCACATCCTTTAGCGTATACTCCACTTTACGGGCCTTTGGATCGTAAGTACCGTTATTTGCTTTCACGCCCTTCACAGGACTAAAAGTACCTAAGTGTTTAGAAATAACAATCATTAGTTATTGTTGTTTAGCCAAATAACTTATATAATATAAGTTGTGTCATATAATAATAGCTATATTCATAGTGGGTGGTTATTGTTTGCCATAGATTAGATGGGTTTAAATTGATAAACTTGCATAATCATTAGATCTCTAAATTGGATCAATGTCAATGATGGTAAACAATAAACACCCACCTTATGTGAGATTAGCTAGTTCAAATTTTTTTTGGGTTCAGTTCACTTACTAAAGTCTGTGCTGTAAAACACTTGTTTGTTATCTTTCGAAAGTCTTAGGTTACGGAATGTTTCGTTCTTTCCATCCAAAACGTATGTGCATGTTAGTTTAACATCTTTGC